GTGGACCGCATCGAGTACCTCGTCGATCAAACCGGCGACCACGTTGTCCAGGCCCGGGGAGAGCTGATCAAGGCCGAGGAGTATCGGAGCAAAGCTCGTAAGGTAAAACGAATCGAAAAAAAAAATGGTATCGATCGATCGCCGCTGGATAATATAATATTTGCGATAAGAAGTGGACGATAATCCAGAAATGACGATCCAGCGGCGATCATCCAATCCGCCGTTCTTCTCTTTTCGTCGTATTACGAGGATCATCCACGAGAACGCCTAACTTGCTTCTCTTTCTCTTTCTCGATACCTCTTTGTCTCATTCCTTGTCTTCCTTACTCGTTCTCCCTTTGCACGTTCGATGCCATTTCGTTGTTACAAAATTTCTTAGGAATTCAAAAGAAAGGCGATGGATCCTTCCATCCTTGCTTCGCTTTTCACCGATCTTGTTCAATTTTGGCTAATGCGATCGATCGAACGGCAAAGATAAACGTGCGAGCAGCATGTGCAACGCAAAAGTACTGTTCATTGGTGGAAAGAAGTTTCGCGGCTCTGATTGGTTAATTTGGAAAGGAACGCCTATTTCCACATGTATTTTTGTTTCTACCATAGTATTTGTCACATATACTGATCCCACGATGGTATTTGTATCTAAACTTTGATGCATAGAATCCAGAAAATTTTCGTAAAATTTACGTATCGATATAATATAAAAATTTTATTATTTTTTATCAATATATTTAGGCTAATTATGATTTATAACGATAATTTAATTTATAAATGTAATTTGGTATTTAATATATATATATTTAAAATTGTTGTATGCGAATATATTATGTCGATATGTATCGAAATAATTAATAGTTTCGAAAATATTTCAGCTTCCAGTCTTAATTATTCTAACGTAACTTCGTAAGTGAAAATAATTTTTATGATTTTGAATATTCAAATTATAACTCTTCTACTATTATATAGTGCGTGGTGTTAGAATTGTCAACAAAGCGTCTAGAGTGGGGATAGGTGATTCTACCGAAGGACTTCACTTGCCTCTGCCGTTTCGCAGAGAGAAATTTCTTTCCAGCAATGAACAATACGTGATTGTTCGCTTCTCTCCTAGCTTGCGAACAACAATCGTCAAATTTTTTTTGATCTCGAAAGTTCGATCTGTTGCATTGTTAATTATAAAAAAAAAAGAAAACGTGTTATTTTCCGCTTACTTGTTTTCCTCTTTCTCTTTCTATCTCTATCGTTTCCTCTTCCTTTTATCCGTGAATTGATATATAATAAATAATCCTTGTTTCTCGTCCGATTTAATCGATCTTTGTCTGCCTGCTTGTCTGCCTGTTTCTTCGTTTCTTCGTTTCTTCGTATTGTCGTCATCATGTTTTTTCTCTTCTTCTTCTTCTTCTTCTTCTTATCCTCTATCGTGTTCTATTATATATAAATGTGCAAGTACAAATCGATATGCCTCTGTTGCTTTTTTTCGAGATACGGAGACGCGTGCAACGTTTTCCCTCTCTCACTTGTATATTCCTCCCTGGTGAATATTTGCACTTGCCCGCGATTCGGATTGTACGGTTCATTTCACACGCCGGTCTTTTTTTTTTCTGTCCACAGAAAATGATCTTCATCATAATCTGCGTCTTGATATTGGCCGTGATATTGATCTCCATAATAATAGCATGCGTTCCTAGAAGCTAAAGGTTTGAAGAAGCGCGCGCTTAGGGGTGGTGGGAAGGGGCATGCGATGATAATGGGGGAATGGACGCGATGTTCGATCGAAGGGAGGAAAAAAAAGAAAAGAAAACTAAAGAAAAAAAAAAGGAAGAGAATGGATCTCGAGATCGATCGAAAAATCAAGGACGATGATAGAAACGCGCGGGGGAACGATCGAAGAGGTAAAGAAGCGCAGACGACGCTCGTTTAAAATGGACTTTCTATTTCGCGATTTCACCAACAAACTGCCCTCTCGATACTTTCGACGTGCACACCTATTACCGCCACCGTTCTTCGTTATTTCCCTCCTGTTCTTTCCATGGCTTAAATATGTCTCTTTCTCTTCCTCTCTCTTTTTCTCTCTCTTTCTCTCTCTCTTTCTCTCTCTCTCTCTCTCTCTCTCTCTAACATCGAAATGACTAAACATTATTTTCGTTGCCGTAACGATTTCGTTCCACTAACGCGTAAGAAATATGTATATACTTTTTTCTCCTTTTTCTTCTCATTTTGTTCTTTCTCTCTATTTCGCCAACTCGTCCGTGCATACTTCTCTCGAACGATAGAGAGAGAGAGAGAGAGAAAAAGAGAAAGGGCGATTTTTCCTCGTCTTCCTATTCGTAATATACACGGATACATGTACAGTTCTGTGGTCAAACTAACGTGTTTTTGTTCCTTTTTTTTTCGCGCGGTAAAAGAAGGAGATATATAGTTTTCTTTCAACTCTCTGTCTCTCTCGTTCTTTGACGCGACTTCGATGCGTAACATCGACAAGTGACGGCAACTCTCTGTATTTTGTTCGCAGAAATTGATGTTCATCGTAATTTGCCTGACAATAGCGTTCATCATTCTCATAATCATTCTGGTATACGCATTAAAAAGATAGATCGGCGATATTCGAGGATTTCAGGTGAAAAGCGGTGAAAAGGATGAACGCTGTGAAAAGTGTGGATGGACCACGAGGGGAAAAAAGTAAAACTAGTGGAACTTTCTGGAGACGCGAGCTGCGGCGTTTTCATTGCTCCTCCTCCTCGTCCTCCTTTCCCTTCTCCCATCTCCACTCGCTTCCCTCCAAGAGCGAAAACGCCGAGGCTGCGTTTCGTATTTTCAGTGAAATACTCTCGCGAATCCGTTTCTCCGGAAATCGCGTGCATTCGCCGTCCGTTCGCCGTTTCGCTTCTTTTTCTTGTTCGAAAAAACGACCGAAAGATAAAGACGAAATCGCGAATCGAAAGAGGATAGATAGATAGATAGCGTGGTGGTCGGTATCCTCCCCCCCCGAATTCGAATTTCCCCCAATCGCGCGCGACGCGATATCGCGAGCAAATTGTAAATAATAAATAATAGGTAAAAACGTGTTTGTATGATGAAAAAAGTATATATATATATAAAAAAAAAAAAGATATAATAATATTCACGATGGATGGATGTACGGTTTTTGTGGCGATTGTGTATGAAGAGAGGGAGGGGATGCGACACGATCGAGGAGGGGATGATCCAAAGATCAGAAATCGAGGAGAAATATATATATATATATAGAGACACGAATTGCGATTGTTGAGAATTGGGAGGCCAGTTGCAGGCGCACACGCAGAGAGGCACGCGAATATAGCTGTGATTCGATCGGAGGATCGAATGTGACGATGATGTGTAAGATATATGGAAGAAGTGGGTGACGCGTAGCATGTACACACACACCACCGAGGAAGGTGTCCAAGTAGTTACGGTTACGGTAGGAATGTACCAAGGCACGTTGCGTACCTTGCCTTGTATAATCGATCATTGTGTGTTTTTGCCGAGCGCAGAAGAAGATCATGATCATGATCTGCCTTACTATACTCGCCGTCGTTCTGACCACCACCATCGCTGGATACTTTGGACTGTGAACGCCGTACTCAGGTATCGTCTGTCCACTTCTTTTTTTTTTTTTTTTTTTTTTTTTTCTTATGTATTTTCCACATATATCTGTGTGATGACAAAGGAAAGATGAAAGAGCGGTGAGTTTCATTTACACACGCTTGTTTTACATTTTTCCAGACAAGTCGAAAAGAGTTGGCGAGTTCGCGTACGAAAACGCGAAACGCCGGCAACGCGTGAATTCAAAGAAATCAGCCCGAAACAACGTTGGACGCATCGCCCATTTCAAGTGGAATAGTGTTCGTCGACCACGACTGCATCCGCAATCGCAATCGCAGCCGCAACAACAACCGCCAATAGCAACAACGGCAATTCGACCGCGATCCCATTCGCGATCTTATCGTCCGATCTTTTGTCCGCGCGTGCCGCTCCTCGTCCCATGGATCGTCGTTCAATTCCGCCTTCCGTTACGCTTGCGCGTTCACCGATACGTGTTTTACGCGTCGACTATCGTAAACAAGAGGCGAACGAGAATAGAAATAGAAGTATTTGAGAAAATTAGTGAAAATGATATGAGAAGGAGAATGAGTAAAACGATAACTGGCAGAACGAAGAATCGTCATCGTCGTCCTTGTCGTCGTCGTCGTCGTCGTTGTCGTCGTCGCTCTCATCTTCATCGTCGTTTGTTTGCATCATTATTGTCGCTTGTAGTTTATACGCCTTCATTTACTAATCTTTCCTCGTTTTTCTTTCGTTCACTCGATACGCGAATAGTTTCATCGAAAATAATCTCGCTTCGTTCCACGCGAGTTTTATTTTCCATCGATTTTCTCTATACTGTCTTATTTTTTATCTTTATGAAACACGATCATAAAACATAGAAAAGGATAAAAGACACGGACGATAGCGACGAAGCGATCTCGATGTTCGCCAATGTATCTATCGAAGCGAGGAAAATTGCGTGGATCGTAGATCGAGTTATTGGTTATCATCGTTAATCTCTCCGGGATTATCATCGACGAGCAACCGAGAATGCGATGGGGGAATAACACGGGTGTGATGGACAAATGTCGAGCGTACTTACCTTTTTGTCCGGGATTATCGGGCCTAGAAAGCGAAGAAAAAAAAAAAGACGGTATTCGTGGGCGGCTGCCTACGATTAGGTCGTATCGATGTATCTCGTTTCAAAACCAAGCCTAAAACCTAATGGAGTTTTTCTGTAACGCGAGGCACATCGTGCGAGGCTACCGTGCAATCCTCTCGTTTTCTCAAACGCCATTTTCGGCGTTATGCGCAGGCTCTGGTAGCCGTGTCCAATTATACCGACTACCTACCGAAGTGCATTCTTTTGACTGTGATTTTTAACGAGCTTGGAAATTAGCCTTTTGCGAATCTTTCGAACACGTTCGTAATATGGTCGGGCATGTATACGATCGTACGAGTCGAAACGCATGCAAAGTGTTTTCTTTTCTTCGCTTCTTCCAAGATCACCACTACTGCTCGAAATCGAGAATCGAACGTAGGCTGATTCGAAACGATAGTATTTCGACGATAGGGTATATCGACGATCGGTAAAGAAGGGAAAACATGTGAATTGGAACGCGCAAAGGGCAAATTTGCAAGTGCGTCGTAACGTTGGAATAGCTTTCGTTCGACGGAATATACACTTAGGTAGTTTGTTTCTCGCTTTCGGCGTTGTGTCAGAAATCGATCGGTCGATAAAAAAATTGATCGAAAACGATGACGAATCGTACAGCGAAGCACTATCATCTTCGTGTTGCACGAAATGCCATTAGGGTATTGGGTTCGATCGACCGATCGGTATCATTGGTTTTTTGCATCCTCTTCGATGTATCGTTATATTCGTTTCTGTTCAAATACGCGGCCGCGATCTTGTTTTGTTTTTTTTCTCTCGGTTCAGCTCATGTGTCGTATCGAAGTCGTATCGAATATCTACTATAACATCAATCGGTCAATTACCGACGATCGAATGGACAATAACGACGAGATTGTGACTATGACCGACATACGTAACGACGACAATGACAATGCAAATTAAAGTAATCTGATCGCTTTATATAAATCGAAATATTTTTCTCGTTTCTTCCATATTCTTCGTTTTGTTTTTTTTTATATATATATATATATNATCATTTATCGTCGTGCGTAAAGAAAAACATTTTCGCAAAAAGCGTGC